CAGACCTTGTCTACCCTAGAGTTCAAATGATGTTAACCCGAACTGTGTGTGAAACTTGCTCTAGAATGATGAGAACCCTGGGCCACACACTGCCCTGGGCTATGGTGTGTTGAGGAGTGCAACATGGCTTAGAAGAGCCTCCAGACATTCAGTGGAGCAGAGAAGAAATAGCATCTCAGCGGCATGGTCTCCTCTGGCCCAACAGGCCCCTTTGCACAAGAACCACGTGGTCAGGGCCCAGAGGATGGGCATGGGATGACTGGGGCAGATGGCAGAGCAGGGGAAGCAGTCGCTCTCCACATCATGCTTTCCTATGCACCATTTGGGTTTCTGCTACTAGCCTCTAGGCCTTCACCCTCCAGGCGTGGGGAATAATAAGGTGCAAGCAAGGGAGGGAAGCCAATGTCCCAGCAATCTTCTGATCTCCTTGGAAGAGAGCGCTCTGAAGAGTCATCGAGCTCTCCCCTCTGAGGAAGACACACCCTTGTCTGTTTCAAATCCCAATGCACATTATAAATAAATTTAAATTAATGGAGATATCCTATTTCCTAGAAGTAGAAGGGACCTTGGTCATTGAGTCCAGCCCCCTGCCTTCATTAGCAGGACCAAGTACTGATTTTGCCCCAGATCCCTAGGTGGCCCCCTCAAGGATTGAACTCACAACCCTGGGTTTAGCAGGCCAATGCTCAAACCACTGAGCTATCCCTCCCCCTAAGGGGAGCCATGTGATGGCACAGTCTATAAAACACTGTTGTAACTAGTGATCTGGGAATCTTTTTGCTCTCACTTCATTTACTGTGAGAACAATGCTCCCTGCAGCATACTTGTCTGTGTGTCTCCCCCATCCAATCAGGAGGGTGCTTCATTGGTATTAATGGTGAACGCTAATAGCACAGGTGTATTCACTGGATCATCATTGTGTACTTCCTGGAGAGGGACCCATCTATGCTGGGACCTGAAATCGCTTTAGCACCTTGCTGGGAAGAACCACTGGGCAAACATGGTTCAGAACCTAGAGCAGATCCAACCAGAGAAGACAACGGATGTTGCAAAGGTAGACAAGTCTGCTGAGGGTCAGAACAAAGGGTAAGCCTGTCTCTTCCCCGCACCTCCTCCCCCCCCCGACAGGATTTGTGCCACTAATTTAAAAAAACCCAACAAAACAAATAAAAGCCGTGTGCCCATCCTGCATCTGCAATTGTTAGAGAAGAAAAAGATTCCAAGGACGAAGACGCAACGAAGACTCACGATTGCTTCCAGTGCGGGCAACGAGCCAGAGAAGCAGAGTCTGGGGGCGGGGGAGGGGACATTTCAAAATGCCTCCTCTCTAAGCAAAGATTTGTTTCTCAGACAGAATGAGCGTTGGCATTTCGATGGTCCTCCTTAGAGTTTGAAGCCAACTGCTCTGTGGCAAGGGACATCTTCCAAGAGTTTCCCACAGTTGCTTCCCTAGCCCTAGGGAAGCTGACCTGCTGGGTGCCGACATCACTGCAGTTCAACCTGAGATAGCACTGGCAACAGTGTATGTGTGTGTGTGTGGGGGGGGGGGGAGCACACTATTCACACCGGGGTTCTTGCCATTGCTAACACTGGAGCCCATCTGGAAGAGTGGGAGCAACAAGGAGGAAGGTTTGAATGAATTTCCCTAGTGGAGACAGGGCATTCGAGGTGAATGTAGAAGACTGCAAAGCAGAGTTCACACCTCTGCTGTGTGATTTGGCTGGAGACCTTTACCTGGAAGGGATAACGGCACAAGAATGCAAAGAAACTTCCCGAAAGAATCACTGCATTAGAAAAATGTAAACAATTAAAAAAAAAAAGGAGACGGCAAGCGGGGAGAAGACTGATCTAGGCAGGGCTTTGGAGCGGAGCCCGGAGCTGCAGGTTTTTGCCTGGAGCCCTGGTAGGGGTTAGGTGCTACTCCCTGGGGCTCGGCAGACCTGGGTTCAATTTCCTGCTCTGCCAGACCTGCTGTGTGACGTTGGGCACTTCCTCTCTCTGGGCCTCAGACACACCCCCCCACACGCCCCTATACAAAGGTCTGGGAGCTAACCACATTTGCTTCTGGACCCATCTCCCTACTCCCAGGTGTCCAAGCCATCTGCAACTCCATAACATCTTCCATAAACTACTCTTCCAGTTGTCCAAACAACTAAGACGCCATACAGGTATGAGCACCCTTCCGCTAAGGCACATGGGAGGCCGCGCTTTCCAAAGGTGGTGAGCACCCACAATTCTGACTGATGTCAGTGGGTGCCATGGTCACTCAACACCTGGGATCAGCTCGATGGTTTTTGTTTTTAAGTGAAGTCTGACATTCTGCCAGCAACAACAACAAATACCCAAAGATCCTAAAAGAGGTCACAAATTCTAGTACTCCATTAGCTGTGCTTTTGTTCTCTCTCTCATTTTTCTCTGACGGGTGTGATTGGTAGCCCTTTTCCTGTATATTTAATATATTTTCAAGGATAAAGATAAAACCATTTTAAAAATGGTTCCGATTATAACATCTTCCAAAGCCCGTGTGTAAAACGTGCACTCAAGTAGTGTTTCATCCTGCACAGCATTTTTGGACATAAACTATTGGTCTTCCTACAAAGTTAAGTCACGATCCTGAAAACACTTAAGCACATGCATAATGTTAAGCAGATGCAAAGTCCCACTGGAGTCCCTGACCCTAATCTTGCAAAAACATATGCCCGTGCTTATCTTTACACATTGTAATTAGTACCACTGAAGGCAATGAGATTGCTTGCAGTGCATAAACTGCATTAGCGTTTGCTGGATCAGGGCCTTAAAACCTTTCATCTTTTCAGAACTTGTAGCCAGCCTACTAGACTATAATTAAATATAGTTTCTTTGGAGTGGTTGGTTAGATACTATTTGTTCTAGTTATTTTTTTATGCATGTTTTAAAATTAACAACGGTCACATCCTGCATGGGCCATCTCAGCCGTAAAATGTTATGACTCAAGAATGCTATCTTGGCTCATTAAAGCAGATTAAGTTGTTCTTAATTTCATTCCTTCAGCTTTCATTTCCCCCCCAAAAAAATCCTTTAAAAAACCCCCCAAAAACCACAAATTAGCCAAATTCAGAGCTTGAAAGGCAAACATTTAACAAGGGGAACTTCACACACCCCTCATGTATAATGTGTTAACAATTAACCATTTCTCCAGCTTTCCCTCCCACCAACCCAATACCCGAACACGTGTAAAGGTATGGGAGAGAGGATTAGCTAAAAGGGGTTGCACATACCCAATGGTCCACAACTTTTTGCATCAGTTTAACTACATCAGTTCTATATATCACCTTACGTTGAACTGGTGCAAGTCTGTGTGTAGACAAGCTCTGAGCCTACTTAATGAGATGGCCCTGGAAGAATCTGATCCTTAGGCCCCCACTCAGCAACACACTTAGGCTCATGCTTAGGTCCCACTGATTTCAATGAGATTTAAGCCTGTGCTGAAGTACAATCTTAAATTTAAGTACCTGCTTAATACCTTGCTGAACTGGGATCTTAGAGAGGCATTTCACAGCCAGCTCTGGCTCTCTAGTAGCTAGTATAAATTATAGTTGTTCTGTTATTAAACTTCAACTCTTGTTTTGTTTTCTTTAGCAGTGTAACTTCCCCTTCTACAGCAACACTGCTAAGGAACCTTATACATTTACTCTGCTGCATGGAATATACAGTTTATTAGCCGGTTAGATCCATAATTAAGTAATAAATGCTAACAGAAACTGTGTGATCCAGGTCACATCTTGAACACAGACACCATTTTCACATTATGAAAGTAGCCACATTTAAAATCTTCAGCTCCATGTGCAACATCTGTTTTACTGATACAGCACAGGAAAAAGTCAATCAAGTTTCTTTCCCTTCCCCCTCTGACAATGTATGAAAGCGCATTCATCTGGTCACCATTTCATTTCTCCCACATTTCTATGAGTTAGACATAATAAAAGCATTTTTGTAAGATCACTTCTAATGCTTTTGTACTTCCCAATATGTATGAAAAACTTTGTGGGAACCAGAGATCAAAACAAACGGGTATACATCAAAACTCGCAAAAGCTACAAACTTGTCCTAAGAAATAATTGTAATGTATGGTTTCTAAACTCAGTGATTATCCATCAGCAAAGTGTCGAAACAAACCAAAAACCCTAAAAGAAAATCTGAAATCCCGGGCGTTTTCCCCTCCCTAATTAATCCTAGACACAATCTACAGTTGCACTTAAATCCAGCAGCTGTAGGTTTTCTGACTGTGGGAAATTGCTTGGGAGAAGCTGTAGCTGCCAAATGACCACACTGAGTCACCATTACCATTTATTCTTTAGGGAATAGCTGGGGAGGAAGCAAAGAGGGCCTTTCATGCCGTGCTAACCCAGATTTCAGATTCATTACACTTCTCTCTCACAACACCTCTGTTTTCCAGTACAACGCTCCCCTTTCTCAGGTCACACAACACCAAACGCTTTATCCAGAGAACAAACTATTTGCCTAACTGTTGTATGAAACAGGAGGAAGACGAAGGCGTCTCCACTCGGTGCTCAAGTTACCGCCACTGCTGCTAGGACAGAGGATGTTTGAAAACCTCCCCAAGGATGTCAAGGAGTCGCCGCCGCCCCTGCTGGAAGCCCAACGCAGGAGCGAAGTCCGTGTCCTGGGCTGGGAAAGCATCCTCTATACAACTATTTCCCTGTTCGGCTTCATATTCTCCTAGGGCTGGGAGTGACCAGGCCCCCGCGGTGCTCGGGGCTGTACAAACACAGGGCTCCAGGCCGGATCCGGATCGCGCCCCGGGTTCGCAGAGGGCTGCCCGCCCCGCGGATGGACACCTGGTCACCACCGAGCCCCAACTTCCAGCGGCCAGCCCCGCTCCAGCCGCCCCGGCCCCGCAGCTCCTCCCGCGGGCGGGCAGGGGCTGCTCGGAGCCGGGCGCCTGGTTCCCTTCCCGGGGAGGGCGGCGGGTCTCCCCGCCGCCCGGCCCCCGCACTCACCGCGGGTCTCTCCACCGCCACGGCCATCCCGGCGCTGCGCCGCCCCTGCCCGCCCGGCTCCGGCTGCTGCTGCCGCGGGTCCCGCTGGCGCTCTGCGCCCCGTGCGCCGGAGCCGCAACATGGCCACCCGGCTGGGCGGGCCCATGCGCGGCGCAGGGGGGCCGGCGGAGGGGCGGGAGGCCTGGCCACGCCGCGGGGAGCCTCCCCCCGCCGCTCCCCGCGCAGGCAGCGAGCCTGGGCCCCGGCGCAGCCCCCGGGCCCCTCCCGCGGCCCCCCGGGGGCAGAGCGAGCCCCGGGCGTGGGGCGGGGCGGGACGCGCCCTCCCCTGCGCGCCGGCAAGTGCCCGAGTCCGCCCGGCCCAGCAGCGAGGCGGGGGAACCCTGCGGGCAGGGGGAACCCAGCTGTGAGCCTGGCTGGGAACCGCTGCCAGCGCCGGGGGGGTTGTCCCCTGGTGACTAGGGTCACAGCGACCCGTGCCCCACACATGGCCCCCGACAGAGAGCGGGTGCCTGGGGACTGGCTGCACACAACCCCCGCTTGCAGAGCTCGCTGGGACCGGGGGGATTAAACCCCAGCAAGGCTGCACAGCCCCCTCTTGGGCAGCTGCGTGGCTGCAGCGGGCTCTGGTGCTGGTTCACACGGTCACACCGCGTTCCCTAAGCCTGGAAGGGATTGCCGGACTGTCAGGTCTTCTGCACCTGGAATCTGTGTCCCTCCCTCCCGCGTGGGGCCAGACAAACACGTGCCTGGGAAGGGAACCTATCTCTCATGTGCCACACTAATTGACCCTGTAAGATCCTTGGGGCAGGGACCACGTCTCTCTGTGGGTATGGACAGACCCAGCACTCACACTGTGCTTTATAAGCAATCCTTCCTAATCCTAGTGAATACAGCGACAAAGAGTCCTGTGGCACCTTATAGACTAACAGACAAAGTGGGTATTCACCCATGAGCGCCAATACGTCCGTTAGTCTATAAGGAGCCACAGGACTCTGTTGCTTTTTACAGATCCAGACTAACACGGCTACCCCTCTGATAGTGAATCCCAGCTTAAACCACCACCCAAGGGTCCCACCCCAATTTTTCATTTGGCAGTAGTACCTAGGAATCCCAGTCCTGGACCAGGCCTCTGCTATGCAAGCACAGATCATTCCTGACCCCAAGAGCTGTAAGTAACATTTACGTGGAAGTGGCCCTCTCCTACAGGTGGAATAGAATCGCTCATTACATGGGATGCACTGTGGCAGAGTCTCTTAAAACAGGAGATTACCTAATAGGAAACGATCTCTTGTACAGGTTTCCCTATAATTAAAGTGCGTAAGGAAAGGGGTGGAGATGTGAAAGAGAACTGTCATTACTCTCAGCTGGAGAAGACATCCTCTTTAATCGGGCACTCCCTTTTGTATAGTAAATGGCTTTGCAGTGTTCATAGATTCATAGGGACCATTGTGATTATCTAGTCTGACCTCTTGTATAACCCAGACCATAGAACTGCCCTGACATAATTCCTAGAGCAGATCTTTTAGATAAACATCCAATCGCAATTTCAAATTTGTCAGTGATGGGGAATCCACCATGAGCTTGGTTATATTGTTCGAATGGTTAATTACCCTCCTTGTTAAAAGTTTACACCTTATTTCAAGTCTAAATTTGTCTTGCTTCAGCTGGGACATTCACATTCACAGTCTCACTTGTTTTTTTAAGATCACAAACGTGGAGATGAGGAAAGGATTTGAAAGTCGATGGACATATCACTGCAGAGCCTTTGCACAGTGAGGTCAGCGTCAGCGCCTGGCTGGATCCTGCTGCTGTTTATAGAAGGTATTGATCACACTAGAGCAGGGGAATTCGATAATGAGGGGGACCCTGATTTCATAAAATATTAGAAAGCACATCACAGCTGGAGCTGCTTGTGAATGGCAGCTAATGACATCTTTGCAGTCTTAAAGGTGAACTGTACAACAAGGAAAAATTGTGCCAGGTGCTGTTCCTTTATGATGTGAAAAGATGGCCTCATCAAGATTTTTTTCTGCTTTTAAACAATCTTACTAAGTAATAACACTGCATTTGTGGCTCCTTGCTCCTGCCTGAGATTTCCAAACTCATTACCCTAGGCTCACTCCTACATAGTGCTCAACAGTCTGCCCCCAATCAAGCAAAGCACTTAAGCACCAGTTTAAGCACATGAGCAGTACCAGTGACTTCAATGGGCCTACCCAGATGCTTCAAGTTTGCTGGACCAGGACCAAAGTATGCAGCATTTTGCAAAATTGAGCCCTTAAAGAGCTTACAGTGTAAGGACCAGATCCTGAACACATTCCCATTACACATGCAAGTAGTCACACCGAAATCGATGGCACTACAGCAGTGCATAAAGTTATACATTTGTGTGCTTCCAGGATCAAGGCCAAAATCACACACCAACAAAGGATAGGGGAAAAGGGCACGACGAAAAAGCAACTTGGTTAGGGTGGTGATTAACCGTATCTTGGTAACATAATGCTTAACAACACAATGGTGTGTGTATATCTGTACGTATGCATACGCCTTTAACTAAATATTTTATCTCTTTATCCAGAAAGTTATCTACATACTACTGTGCAAGGAGAAGCACACCACACATTGTAATGCACACACAATCTCTTACAAAAGGCTAGATCATAGGCCAGACTGCACGCTCCAGGGGCAGCAGGGGGCGTGAGCTCACATCTTGCTTTCCCTGTACAGGTCACTCAGGTCCAAGTGGTTCTGTACACACAGTACACTCTCTTACTCTGCACCTGGAGCACATGGGGAAAGGAGGGATATGGGCAGAGTTTTCTGCCCCCCAAATGCTCTGGCCAGCAAAGCTGAGCCAGGAGTAGCAGGGGATTGGGAAGGAAAGGGCAGTAGTTAGCTGTCAGCCTAGGCTCTAGCTGGACTATCCTGCTAGATCAAGAGGGGAGCAAGGAAAGAATCGCAGCTCCCTGAGGCTTGGTCTACACTTACCCCCCAATTCGAACTAAGGTACACAACTTCAGCTACGTGAATAACGTAGTTGAAGTCGACGTACCTTAGTTCGAACTTACCTCGGTCCACACGCGGCAGGCAGGCTCCCCCGTCGACGCCGCGGTACTCCTCTCGTCTAGCTGGAGTACCGCAGTCGACGGCGATCACTTCCTGGTTCGACTTATCGCGTCCAGACAAGACGCGATAAGTCGAACCCAGAACTTCGATTCCCAGCCACCGAACTAGCGGCTGGGTGTAGACATACCCTAAGATAGGATGCTCCCTGGAGGGGTGCAGCAACATTAGAGTCCTAAGACAGTCCCATGAAGTGTGAATACAATGCTATTTATCACGGTATTTTCCATTTATAGTCAGGATGTGTAATGATGGCCTCAAGGTTCTTGCAAAAAAATGTCTCCATTTTGGGAGGGGGTCTGCCTTTTGTTAATTAATATTAATTATTAATTCATTATTTTTAAAGGAATATCTGGGTCTGGCTGCTTTATTTCCTCAAAGATTTTCATCCCACTTTAAGGGCCTGGGAACCTGACATGGGAGGAAGCTGAAACCTAGGCTGCTGCTCTCCCAGAGGAAAAGTATTGTGAGTTTCAGTTCAATGGATGTCGATTCTCAGGTCTTGCCTATACTGGGGAATGTAGGTGGACCAAGCACAACCCCCTAGTGCAGATATGTTGCTGTGGTCTAAAAAGGGACTTGCTTCTGTGCCACTTACCTCCTTTGTACACCTGGGTCAGCTACACCAGCGGAAGTCTTGTTTTAACACCTCTCTGAACTAGGAGCTTCCACTGTGCTGCTACAGTGTAGCTACACCAGTGCACAAGTCCTTCACGTAGACAAGCCTTAGGATGACTCATCCCCTTCTTCCTCAGCTACGAGAGCCGTGAATCAGGTTTCTCTCTTATAGTATCACCTAGATGACTTCCTGGACACAGTTGTTTAGGGCAGAGAGTGTTAACAAATAAATAAACCAACAATAAAAAAGATTTTCTAGAGTCCGTTTGTGATTTGGGTTATCATAGTGCAGTGCATGGTGTCTCTAATGTTCAGTTGGAAAGGGGGAACCACATCCGACGAAGTGGGCATTCACCCACGAAAGCTTATGCTCCAATACATCTGTTAGTCTTAAAGGTGCCACAGGACACTCTGTTGCTTTTTACAGATCCAGACTAACATGGCTACCCCTCTGATACTTGACACATTTTTAAAGATTTCACACCTTCGTTTCATCAAATCTAAAATTACATTGGTGCAAAGAGAACTGCAAGTTATTCCTCCTAAAGCACACAGGGGTGAGCAGATCACGGCTCTAACAGAACTTCCCTAGTTCTATGATTTTGCAGATAAGGGGTGCCCTGGCCTATTCCTTTAATAGTGTTTCATTGTAACTATGGGACTATTCTATTTTTCAGATGAAACTGAATGAGAAAAATATACATTTAAGATAAGTTGACATATTATTTGCTATTTGTTTAATCTCAGTGCTTTAAAATCCAGGAATATGGGTCCCTAAAGACAGCCCTGTTTGTATAGTACATGTGGAGGAGTTTGTATCATTAAAAGGGGAGTGGCTAGAAACCTGTGTCAAGGGCTAGAGCTGTTTTTTAAAAAAAAAGGTCAATTTATTTTTGAAATACTGATTCGTCTCTTTTTCCATCATTTTTGACCAGCTCTACTAGGGCCTTTTTTCAAATTTCTCCAGAACAGTCAGAAATGACCTTTGGAGCCGTAGAGTTGCCCAGCAACTGTGAAGAGCTAAACTTTATTAACTTCAAGAATCTAGAAGGGTATGACCAACAAGAGAGAGAGCAAACAATTACAAACTGCCAAGGACAGACAATAGTATCTCTTTAAACCACTTAGCTTGGAATAGACAAAGGAAGAGATTATAGGTGACAGGACTGTACTAAGTGTTTGTCTACATGGCGACATAGCCACTTGTCTACATTCAATATGCATCATCGGCATGTTCACTACTGTAAAACTTCAATACCTACGAAGATAGGAGGGAATCTCCCATCGGTGTTGGTAATCTCCCCTCCCCGAAAGTTGGCAGCTAGGTCAATG